TTGGTGTCCCAGTCCCTCGTGAAGGATCCCAGCTGCCGGGCTTCCTTGCCCTCTGATTCCTGAGAGAATGGCCCCAGTATCCCAGCATCAGACCAACCAGCTGATAATTAGCTTACCAGGTTGATGGCTATAATCTTTGTGCATATTCACAGGTTACTCAAGGACAAGGAGCTGGTGGTTTCTGACTTATGATTTCTGTCTCTTTCCCCTCCTGTTCTCCTGACTGCTCTGCTGCACAACTGGCTGCCTCTCTGATTCCTCCTCCTGTCCTTCTTAGAAGAAGCTGCTTCTTTCCTGACTGAACAAGTGGACTCCTGCTTCCACAGTTTCTCTATAGGGGTGACTGATATAGTTGCAAATCTGGTCTCTGGCTTAGCTGTGGTACCCATCTGTACATCAGACCCAGAGACCCCCTCTGCCCTTTGGGGATGCTGAACGGTGCTCAGTGGGTGTAGGCCAGGCCCAGCACGGTGCAAGCAGCTGTGTCCCATTAGCATAACCAGGGCATCCTCTCCTCAACTGCTCTATCACTTCATCAGAATCCCCACACTCGTTCAGGGGTCAAGTCCCACACCATTGGAGGTGAAAACTGTTCTAGATACTTGCCCATATTCTCACGACCACGCTGCCTCAGGGCACATCCCTGTGTGATATTCCCAAATAGTCAGTTAACCTCAGGAAAAGCTGGAACCAGGTTCAAGAGACACAATAGTGTGAGCATCCTGATTACCCAGGGATGTTCAAAATACTGAAGTCATTGTAACAAGGTGGAAAGCAACTACCCAGCAGGAGATGAAGGGGAAGGTGCTGTTCTTTGTTTCCTCCACAAATTGTCTCTCAGAGGAAAAGAGGGAAAAGGTGTAATTGTTAATTGTCTCCACGAGATGGTTCCCGAAGTACTGGGACAGCAGCAGTGCAGGGCCCAAATACCGTATTAGGCGCAGGGCCAGTACTTTCATCATAGTTCTCCTGGGCAAAACACAACTGAGTGCTGCAAACTGCAAAAGTCAACCACAGCTTTTAACAAGCTCTCAAATTTGATATACAGCAAGAGGGAGCAAGACATGGAAGAGGTAACCTGCACTGAGAATAAATAAGTGGACACTACAACCAGCAACAGCTAAACAGATGTAGTAAGTTCCCTCTAGTGCACTCCAGCCGTGTGTTTTGTTATCTTGAACCCTGTGTGTCCCACACTCTACGCCAACAAGGACTGTGGAGGCCTCACCCTGGGTGGCAGCTAAGCACCTCACAGTGGCTCACTCACTGCTCCCAACTGCGGGAGAGGGGAGAGAATCAGAAGGGCAACAGTGAGAAAATAAATGAATTGAGTTAAAGACAGTTTAAGGGGTAAAAGGGAAAAAATAATGAAAAACAAGTGATGCAAATGCAGACACCACCAGCTCACTGATACAGTCCCTGAGCAATGGACCCCCTGGAACATCCCCACCTCCCATTCTCAGATTTTATTGCTAAGCATGACATTATATGGTGTGGAACATCTCTGTGGTCAACTGGAGTCAGCTGTCCCATTTGCATCCCCTCCCAGCCCCTTGCCCACTTCCAACCCACTCACTGGGTGTCAAGAGTGAGAAGCAGAGAAAGCCTTGGCGCTGAGCATCCACTGTTGAGCAACAGCTAAAACATCAGCGTGTTAGCAACACTGTTTTGGTCACAAATCCAAAACACAGCACCATATGGGATGCTATGAAGAAAATTAACTCTATCACAGCAAGACCCAGTACATCAGAGTACATTTTTTTTCTCTTTCTTAGGACGCTGCTCCTGAACTGGCCTGTTTTGGGCTTGCAGCTCAACAGGGATGATGTGAAAGTCATGCAGGTCACAGGAGGGTGACCCCATTAGTCATGGCCTAGCACACATGGCCACCAGGAGAGGCCAACAGAGCTGGGGCTGCTCCAGCCCATAAGAGGAAACTATCAGACAACTGAGCTGCAGCACACAGCTGCAGGATTGGAATTAGCAAAACAGTGGAGCCAAACAATTCTTGGCAGTAAGAGGTGGTAAATAACAGGCAATGGCCACCAGCTACAGTTAGAGAGGTTCATGCTGGACATAAGGAAAACTTGACAAGGAAGGTGGAGCAGCACTGGGACAGGTTGCAAGGGGAACCTGTGGAAGGTCCATCCTTGATCGTTTCCAAGAACACACATCATGTTGGCAACGGTTCATTTCCAACAGGAGATTTCACCAGGTGACTTTAAGCAGTCCCTTCCAGACAACATCTCTATTCTTCCAAGTACCTCCTTTTCAAACAGACTTCCTATACAGCGTTATCACAATTGTGAAGCTGGAAACACTTGTCTGGCAGGTAAATGACTTTCCATCGCAGACAGCCATTCTAGCCACTGCAGCTGTGCTCTTTGGAGGAGATTAATATAGTTTGGTTTAAAAAGCAATTTGGACCTTGTCCTGTATTTCGTACAGCCATGCAATGGTCCTGCAATACAATACCTGGGATGAGTTCAGAGGAGCAGCT